TGTCTTTTTGAAGCAGGGTCTCCCTGTAGCCCCAGCTGTCCTGGAACTTACTATGTAGACCAGGTTGGCCTCGAACTCACAGAGATCTGCCTGCCTCTGCCTCCCAAGTGCTGGGATTAAAGGCATGTGCCACCACGCCCAACTTTAAACTCCCTACTTAGCCAAGGCTGGCCTTCAACTCCTGGTCCTCCTGCCTCCACCTCCCAAATTCTGGGATGACTGGGGTATACTACCACACCAGGTTACCAACTCCACTCATCTGTCCCGCAGACATTGAACTAGTCTGCAAGTCAGCTTACTCAGAGCTACCCACTTCTCATCATCCCCAACCCTACCTCCATCCAGCCCTGTCATCATCTCCCAACAAGAACCAAGGCAGAGTCCTCTCACAGGATCTACCATCCCTGCCTCATAGCCCACAATATGTTCATCTTACCTGTGCCATTGGAGGCCAAAGTCCCTTGCACTTGAACACCTGCCAGGGTCACCCCAGCCCCGCCTGGCTGAGTCAGGCCTGGCACACTACCCTGGGAAGGCATGCCCTTGACAATCAGGTCTAGCAGGCACCTGGGCAGTGCTTGGGTAGGTACTCAACTTGAAGGGATCTTTGAAGCCACCTTTTCAGAAACCAGGATAGCTCTGAGAATCCCAGTGTTTCTTAGTGCCCCCAACCCTGCCCAACCCTCCTCATATCTGTGCATCATGCTGTGCTGTGAGCCACCAGGAACCCTCATGGAGCAGAAGAGAAGAAAAACAAAACAAAACAAAAAACAATGCTCAGAGAGGTTGAAACTGAATCCTAGGTCACAAAGCAAGGTCTGGATTGGGACTTAGCTGGCCTTGAGACAACTGCTTGTGTGTGTGTGTGTGTGTGTGTGTGTGTGTGTGTGTGTGTGTGTAAGGCCAGGCTCCTTGGATTCAAATCTTAGCTCTAACATAAACAATTAAGCCAGTAAGGCAAATCCTTTCTCTGGATTTTGTCTTGCTCTAAAAGAGGGAATGTGCTAGTATTTGCATGTGATAAAAGAAATAACACCTGAGTTTGTGCAAAGGCCCTGGGGTGAGCAGTGTTCTGTGTCCTGGGGTGTCCTGTGTCCTAATGTTCAGAGGAATTTTGCAGGGCCTGGCAGGTGAAGTGGAAAAAGGGAGGAGATAAGGAGAGGGAGGTGACAGGGCAGATCAAGCAGGGCCCTGCAGACTGGGGGGAGGACTTTGACCCAAGTGGAAGTCACTGAGGGTTTTGAGTAAAGGAAGGATGTGGTGGGACTCCGATATTCCCAAGACCACATGGGACAGAAGCAGCAGAGAGAGGGGCCCAGCTTCATGGCCCATGGGAGGTGAGGCAGAGGCAGGGATGGTAGGGTGACACTGGGTGGGGCCCAGCACAGAGTGTGTGTGTGTAGGTGGAGTTCCTGACAGCTGTGTATACAGATCAGTGCCAGGCAGGCAGCAGCCCTGATGGACTTCTGGGGGTTTCCCTACCACCTAGGTTTCCTTTTGTATTTAGGAACCAACAGATTCACTGGGCAACAGGTGTTAAGTGACTTTATCTTTCTAGGCGTCAGGTTCATCATCTATAGTTGAGGTCATGCAGCATGTAAGTAGGAACAACAGCACTTGCAAAGACCCCTCTGGGCCAGTTCTTCCTAGTAGTAGCTTCCTGTTCTCCCTGGATTTTTCTTTTCCAACCATGGCTGCCAGGAAAAGACATGGAGGTGAGAAACGGTTGTCATATTCAGAGATGAGCCCGGGCTGGAAAATTCTAGGAAACTGCTGTTGAAAGAGGGGCTATACGGAAGAGATTACATATATGCAGGCAAAACACTCATACACTTAAAAAATAAAAATTGCTCACACCAGCCCCGATATTGGGAAAGGTCTCCACGCCTGTATCCATGCCGCGCCTCCTCTCCAGTTCTCGCTCCACCATCCATGCTCCGCCCAAACCTGTTTTCACCAACCCCAACCCCGACCCATCCTCGCAGAGACCCCGCCACACACATCCTCCTCCAAACACAGGCAAGCCTGAGTGGGTACACCCCTGCCTGACCAGAGGTTTGCTCCCTAACCAACCACGCCCACAATTAGGACACACCTTTCCAGCTCCTCTCTCACTCCGGCCGCGGTGTCGGCTCCCCGCCCGCCGTCTTCACCCTCAGTCTCTCCGCCTCTCTCGCCCACCTCCCAGCTCACCAGTCTCTCAGCACAGGCTCCGCCCCTGCCACAGCGAAGGCCACGCCCAGTCCGGACTGTGTCTCCTCCATCCCAACGCAGGCTCCGCTTCATCGCACAGCAGGCTCCATCCCCGTCCCTACCCAGGTTCTGCCCCATCTCAGCTCGGGCCTCGCTCTCGTTCCGGCCCCGCCTCCCCCCGACCGCCCGGTGCCCCGCTAAGGCCGGGTAACAGCGCTAGCCCCATCCGAGCATCCCCTCTCGGGCCCCACCCGCGTACGGCGCC